CCTCGCTCACCACCGACCACATCGCATCGCACATTGGCAAGGCCATGGGCATCGCAGCCGTACTACGCGGCATCCCGCTCATCGCATTTCCGCCGCAACAGCCACTAGGCACTAGCAACTCCATGACCGGGCAATCAGGGCCCACACAAGGCGCGGTACTCCTCCCACTCGACGTGATGGCCGAAGCCAACGTCCGCGAAGAAGACGTCTTCCGACAGGGCGCTTCTGCCCCCGGTCTCCGCGACGCCATCTTCACCGTCGCGACACGCGCGAACGACCACCTTATCACCGCCCGCGAGATGCTGTCCAAGCTGCGATCCGAAGGCACGCTCGGCCACGACTTCGAACATCAAAACGAGGAGGAACATCAGTACAGCGCACAGCAGATGAACACAGGGCAGGAGGCACAACTAGCGGAGGTTGAACAGGCATTCGGTGTTTTCATGCCGAGCATAGCGACACAGTCTTGGCTGGATAGGTTACAAGGAGTGGACTTTGACATCTTCGATGCGAATCTGAGGAAGGTCGACTGGAAGCTTCCCATGAAAGCGTATTGGGCGTATAGTAGGCGGAAGATATAATGTTCAAAAAGAATGAAGCATTTACCGATGTACTTCACAAGGCTGCAAAGTGCTAGAGCGATGATGCTGATCATCACGAATATACAAGACGGCGAGGTACGAGTGGAAATTCAGGAAGTCGGCCAACGCCATGCGGACCGTGTCTTCTGTTTTGAGTGCCTCCTGCTCTCGAAGCTGAGGTAGGGAGAATGAAGGAGGTATGGTGAACATCTGCCTCTTTAAATACCCTTTCAGAGCCCTTCTCGCAAGCGAGTCGGTAACCTAATTGAAGTTCCATGGGAAGTTCATCGCATTGAGGAATTGCATTTTTGAATAGCACGGCAGGTCTCCGCATAGAACGTCATGCATATCGACATGACCTTTTGGAGAGGTTCTCATGAAGCTTCTGATATTGGTTCTTCAATCTTCGTTTCCACTATCAGAAGATCGAAGGACCGCCGCAGCACATGTAGCGGAAGTTTTTGACTTTTGATGACCGGGGCTTTTCCTGCACAATACAGAAGAACTCGGTCATGGAATTAAAGCCGAACAAGAGCGGGGCGGACACTCATGTTGACATGCTCACAGACTTTTGGAGGTAATGTGTTGGAAGTTGGCTTTCGACGGAAGGGAGAGGGCAGTGCTCATAGTTCCTGCCTGATCTAGTTTTCGAAAGCGAGGGCCGAACACATGAAAGGCTTGATCCCCCGTTTTGGAGCAAAGGAGAAGAAGAGGGGAATTGAGGAGTAACTAGGTGCACGGAAGGCGAGGTTCATATATGCCATGGACCTGAGGTGGACACTCAGCGCAGCATATCACGAGACCAACTTATTTTCGGTTTTTGGTGTGCTCTCATGTGCTCTTGTTGCTCAGACAAAACATAGGCAGTGCATCCAGATTTTTTTGAAAGTCTCCAGGGCTCGGCGCGCAGAACAACATGTATATGTCCTGGGTTCTTTTTGATATCTTGTTGCAAGTGACAATGGAAGATGGAAGGCCGAGAGAATATGTCTTGTACCAATTTGGTGGTAGAGACTCGGAAATCATTCTTTGCGCAAGAGCGGGGACAATGCTCATGAGCTCTTTCCCGCTGCGTTTTGGAAAGAAAAGGGCGGACACATCCCATGCTGATATTTTTGTTTTGTTTTGGAGAACAAAGTCAATTTGGAGAGGAGGTGAGGAAGAGGACGAGCGAAAGTCGAGGTTTATATATTTGACCAACTGGTAGTGGGCCAGGGCGCAGCATGAGACGCGAAGTGTTGTTTGTGTTCAACGTGGTACTTCATTTCTTCCCGTCTTGTCGCACAGACAGAACATGGAGAGAATGAACCAGGACTTTTGAACAAGTCGGCGCCGAGAACGACATGTCCTCTACTTCGGTGTCTTTGAGAGTTTTTGGGGGTGGTAATAAAATATAGAAGGAAGAACGGTTTCAAGACTGCGAAGCCTTATATAGACCAGATTTGATTGCAAGCTACTCCCCATGAAGATGTTGCCGGCCGGAGGCCCGCTGCACATCGCACGCTCAACTCAATATTTTGAAAAATACACATCCATATAGGGTTCGATAAGATTTGAATTAAGAGACTTTTTCAGGGGAAGAAAGGAAGAGAAGAATAGTAACGATGCGTATTTTATACTCCTCCGTTTCTCGCCGCAGATTCGTAGTGGTGGTAGAGCCCGACGTAGTGCGGCCGGTCATGCGCAATAAGATGTAAGATTGAAAGATGACCGTGACCATGACAACGTCGCTTCTGTTCGCACGTAAGAACCTACACAGGAGGTATGCGTGCGGTACGCGCGTAAAATCAAAGCAAACTATTGATTCGGATGAATGACACGGAAAGCGAGGATCAGAGCCCCGCCCTTTCGTATCCGATTTGGTTAGTCTACGCATCCTGCGTGTCATTGTCCTGGAGTATATCATGTCGCAAACACGTCGCTTTGGTAGTAAGATACATCCACGTTCGTTCATAGAGTCTGTATCGAGTCTGTCACACGCACATTAGTTGAGGATGGCGTCAAATGTGTGTGCCCTCCGTTAACCCCCTGACCTCGGGACTATCCCCAAGCTAACAACGACAGCCAAACGCATCGATAACCTGGGCGGCATCTAAGAAAGAAGATGCGTCCAAAGTTGGGTTTCTGGACTTACCGCGCGAACTTCGCGACATGATCTACGAGTTCGCGTTCCGCATCAAAGGCGCTGTTCTCGTCTACTCGCGCGACCCCTTCACAGTTCGGCCGGTGATGAGAGTGCTGAACATCCGACATGGCGGCGAAGGTCCGATTGAACCACAACCCTTATGCAGCGGCCAGATCCCAGTAGCACTCATAAGGACGTGTCGACAGCTGCGGGCAGAAAGCAGCCCTGTTTTCTACGGGTCGAACGTTTTTTCTTTCTGGGCGCTGGGCAACATCGACGTGGGTTCCGCCAATCGGTGTTTGGTACGGCACATTGTGACTGAAGCAAGTCCTCGCGGCATCTTCGACAAGTCTCTCGAGCACGTCAGCTATTGCTGGAAGAGGAGGTTTTGGCCTGAGATATTGCGTAGCAGCGAGGCTATATTGGAGCACTTCCCATACCTAGACACGCTGACGTACTCACTGAAGCCACCGCGTGAGGAAGTTTGGAAACCTGCTTTCTTTGATGTGGCCAACAAAACTAGAGAGCAGCGTGTCGACCTGGTTGCTAGTTGGATGGGTCAAATGTGTCCTTGGGAGAACGAGCGACTGCGTCGGATTGTGCATCTCGAGATGGTGCCGTCGCCTGGGCTCTCGAGAGATGAATATGCGGGTTCGCGGTTCGTTCTTGAAGACGAAGACGTCTGGGACTACACCGAGTTCGTGGATGCATTCGAGCGAATGAAGATATCGATCTAATTAGATAGGCGGAGAAGCATATCGATTATATAAAAGCAATATGAGCATTCTGTGGGTGACCACGTTAGCAGAACCATCGTTCGGTGCGGGATGACGGAAGGAGGCATGATCGCGTGAGCCTTGCCTTCCCCGCCACATTGATCTTATCTCAGAGGCCGTTGACACAACGTCTGCTTTTATTTACGCGATGCAAGCATGAAACCTGGGGTCTTGTACTGGCGTCCACACGAACTGCTCGCGTCAACTGGTACCTAAGTAAGCGACGAGGCTAGATCGCCGGCCGATTCCGGCAACTACACCCAAGCCGCAGGTGTCAAGCACGGCATCAAGAAAACGCCATTCCGCGCTCAGATCTTGCGAAAAGATCTAAATATCATAGACATGCTCCTCCGACCAGCGCGCACCTGCACACGGTCACTCCACACATCAACCCGCGCAATTGCGGCCCGGCCGTCCATAAACCCACCAAACGACGCTTTCCGAAACCGGCAAAACCTAGTTCCCAAATTTTCGACAAAACAGTCATCTTTGCAATTGAGCAACCGGCGATTCATAGCAACCTCCGTACCGCGACTTCAACAAATCGGCTCCGCAGAACGGATTTCAACATCCAAAATGGCAGGCGACGATCACTACCTCACCCTCTCATGCCCGGATAAGGCAGGCATTGTGTATGCCGTCACGGGCCTCCTGGCAAAGGAAAACCTCACCATTCTCGATCTCCAGCAATTCTCCGACCCGGACTCCAAGACCTTTTTCATGCGTGTGCATTTCGGGCATGCAGCGGATGTATCCGCGCTGCAAGAAAGCATGAAGAAGCTCGCTTCGGAAATGAGCATGACATACCAGATCCAACGGGTAGACTCCAAGCCCAAGGTCCTCATCATGGTATCCAAAATCGGACACTGCCTCAACGACCTCTTGTTCCGCGTCAAGTCCGGTCAACTTAAAGTCGAAGTCCCGATCATTGTGTCCAACCACCCCGAGTTTGCCGAGCTGGCAAAGAACAACGGCATTGAGTTCCATCACCTGCCTGTAACCAAGGACACCAAGGAGAAGCAGGAGACGCAAATTCTGGATCTGATTAAGCAACATAACATCGATCTTGTTGTTCTGGCGCGCTACATGCAAGTCCTCTCACCGCGCCTGTGCACGGAGATGTCGGGCAAGATTATCAACATTCATCACTCTTTCTTGCCTTCGTTCAAGGGCGCGAAACCTTACCACCAGGCCTACGAACGTGGTGTCAAGATCATCGGTGCAACCGCACATTTCGTCACAGCGGATCTGGATGAAGGACCGATCATTGAACAGCGCGTTGCGAGGGTCGACCATGCTTTGAGCCCCAAGGAGTTGGTCGAGGAAGGAAGCAATGTTGAGAGCCAGGTTTTGGCTGCGGCAGTCAAGTGGTGGAGCGAAAAGAGGGTGTTTTTGAACGGTCAAAAGACTGTTGTGTTTAACTAAAGCGTGCCATCAAAAGTCGACGAAAAGCAATGTAAATATACACATGTGTCATGAAAAGTGTCTGAAAATTAATCTACAACGGATTGCGCACGCTCACCACTTCACGCGCAGGCCTTCGAAACTTCTCGGCATAGGTGGAAAGTCAGCAGACAGGCCATCTTCGCCAATGTACTTCTCCTTGAGTAGCAGGCAGGTCGAGCACAGGCGCTCCCCTATTGAGTGCTCACCGAGCCAGATCCGGCCTTGAGCACTGTAAAGCAAAGTCGCTATATCGGTGAACATGTTTGATGTAGGATTGTTTTGGAGGTCGGTATCGTTGAAAGCGTGCGGCTGGGCGTCGAAGAACTCCTCATCCAATTGCGTATAATCGTTGGTATCCTCCGTTTGAAGCATTCCGGTATAGTCCTGAAGCTCTTCTGAAATCGTCGAGTCTTTATGAATCGTGTGGCAGACACAGTTCGAGTTGTGACCGGACTTAACGCATTCTGTGACGGCTATGCGCGCAGGTTCGACCAGTCCGCCAGCAAATGGACCATAGTCGTCTCCGCAGTGAGTGCATGCAGTTCTTGATGACTTTTCAGCGCCGTGAGGGATATCCGTGGACTGAGTCAGCACACGGACGAAGGTCCTTCGTGTCATGCTCATTTGGCGTAGACAGTCATCGAGCTCTTCGCGCATGTACACTTTCAACTGCTCAATGCAGTCCAACACTGCGTTACACCAAGCTGAGTAGATACTAGGCAGTGCCTTCAGGTATTCCTTATGTGTGAGGACGTCCTCCATCCAATCAAAGCCCCTCATTTGCAGAAACGAGCCGGCGTTCACTGCCATTGGTAGGACCACTCGACCGATTACACGTAGAGCAAGCCAAGAGCCCATAGCATGTAGGTGTCTCTTGCTGATGTCCAGACGCTCTTCGCTAGAAAGACTGAGAATGTGCTCGAGGTAGTTGTTGTGATGCGCATGGTTGAGAACAGATCTCATGGCGTGTTGCAGGGCGGACCAAGCAGTGCGCACGCTAAATTCGACGTATTGTTCATTCACGGTAAGGTGAAGTAGCCATGTAATACTGTTTCGCGAAATAGGAACTCGTTCTCTCGCATACGCTCTCTTGAGCCAGTCGTGTACAGTCCAGCCATCACTGTCGGCGTCGGCGATGTCAATGCATTCGCAGAAGAGTCTGAGCATCGCGATCTTGATATCAGCGTGCTCATCGGTACAAAATGCGACGAAAAGCGATATGGGCGATCTAGTTTCGTTAGCAGCGGTACCGTCAGTCGACACTGGGGACCTACAAGATCGCATCAGAAGGTCCTTCATACACCAGTGCAGACTTGTCTGCCCCTCCCTTAATCAACAAAGCGCAAAGCTCGACGTGACCTGCTGCGGCGGCAAACTGGCCAAGTCAGCATCCTTGATTGAGTTCTCCACACAGGAGTAGCGTCTTACGTGCAGTGGCTTCCATCCTTTGGGGCTCGTGTCTACTACGCTTGCCATTCCCTTCTCCAGAAGCGTTTCGACAGCACGGGTCTGACCGGTGCGACAGAGCTCGAAGATGAGTGAGTCATCGGGAACCGGGCAGGTTACTGTTATGTTACAGTTAAAGAGCCAGCTGCGCCCCCCGGATGCCACGACAGCTTCGAGGCCGCTCTGAATGCCCATGTACTGTTGCCATCTTGTCGGGTATAATATCAGCGACCTAACGATCTGGGACTTCCTACGTCTCTTGGAAGACTTGTTGTCGTGATGAATAGTCGTTGTGCGTAGCCAAGCACATCCGAGTGCAGTGCGAATGGTTGAGACATGGTGTCTTACGCGATACCGCAGTTTCTCGGCATAAACAAAAGTCTTGGTCCGCAGCTGTCCACATTCATCGATCGTATAGCCGTCTTGTGAATAGATCTCCAGCGATGTCGGCTCGAAGGTAGTGACCGCGGTTTGTGCCATGGCGTGCAGCATGAGCTCCTGTACCTCATAATCGATCGAGCTGCGCTCCGTGGGAATTTTACCCAAAGGCTGTAGTGCGTTTGTCGTGAATGAAGACGTCATTCGACGGAGGGAACGCTGGCCAACGAATTTTGAGGGGATGCTTTGCACTGGCATCCAACTAGATGTGTCCTCGATCCCAGGCAAATGAAGTGGGCCTTTCCAGACGGTTTTAGAAGTACCATGTCCTTCGATCTCTTCAGATACCTTCAATTTTGTCGAAAGACGGAAAGAGCGAGCCTGAATCACGCTAAGTGTGCATGGTCAGCGAACCGCTATTGGCATGGATAGAATCGCGTCGCACCTTTCGTGGGCCATAGCTAGTGTGAGAGTCGACTTTGTGTCGCTCAAAGAGTCACGGAACCGTTGGATATGTTTGCTGTGAAGGGCAGCTTTGAAAGCTGTACGTACTCGTTGCCTTCGCGATAGCGATGAAAGTCCGTCATCGAATCTCTCAACAATGAGTGTCAGATCCTGAAATGGTCAGTGGTAGCTTCCGTGCCAAAATCGGTACACCTACTGCAATCTTGGCTCGGCAGTGTTGTACACCTTCTGCTAGACAACCACCAAGACTGTTGCCATGGGATTCGACTCTCTGGAAGACTGAGATGAGGAAGCGTAGATCTTCCTTGATAGCAACAATCTCCCGAGGAGCATCTTCGACTGTCTCCCAAAACGTGTAAAGTTTGATGCAGGCTTCAGTAAGTTGGAAAGCCACAGATATGACAGCGATGCCTGGATGCTATTAGTAGGAGATGACGAAAACGTTCATCGAAAGTACCATTTGCCGCGACCGAAAGTCCTTCCATTGTCTGTGCAGCCTGATTACTGATTGCATGGCAAGAGCAGTCGGATTGGGGCTTATATTCCAGTGAGCCTACCTAGGTACTGCGGCACAGCAGATGGGCGAGGTTCACTCTCGTCTCAGCATTGCTGCGCCAATGCATGTTCAACAATTCCCCTGCAGGTCGCCTCGTGCTTTACCTCCGCAAACTCCGCGCTGAGCATGCCTTTGAGCCTTGCGCATGGTCATAGCTGGGAAACCGGGAGACAGCATCGAACAACAATGTGCGCGGCAGATTGACGCGCTTGTGTGAGTAACAGCCATGACAGTTGCCCATTACCTTGTTTTTCTCTGGTTGTAATATCAGCAAACTTCAATACTCTACAAGACCTGCCCATAAGCTCGAGACGATTTCGATGTTCGGGCGACAGTTCGTCAACGGTGCTCGGGGAGGCTGGGTCGATCGACGCTTCCGCCCCCACACTATCCACTTGTGGATTCAGCCGTCACGTAACGGGTGTCGAGGCTGACGCGTTCTAGGGAGCTCTAGAAGACGAGATCGCATACAATAGGTGTCTTCTAAGAGAGCAAAAAACGTAAAAAGTAAACTAAATATCTAAGTAAAACGTCTTATTTAATATAAGTTATTTAGCTACTAGTCTAATTACTAGTAATATTAAATTTTATACTTAGTCTACTTATTTATACTAATAGTATTTATATACTTACTTATAGTAGTATATATTACTTAATTATAAAAATATAATTCTCTTTTATATTATTAAAATAGTCTTAGTCTACTTAAGTTAGCTACTAAATTCTCTATACTAAGGTCTTAAAAACTATAATTTTAGTCTAAATTTAATCTATTTTAAAATAAAATATACTTATATATAAATATTAGCGTTAGTATTATATCTAATATATACTTTATATACTAGTATAGCGTTTTAGAAATATAATAATTTACTATATAAAAGTAAAATTAGTAAATAAAATATTAGTATTAGCGTAAACTCTTATATAAAGGCTTTTACTTTATAACTTACTTTTTAGACTAATAAAATTAGCCTTAATATAGTTAACGCTAAGTTAGATAAAGAAAAGTTATATAGTTAAAAAGATAATTATATTTAAAAATATAGAAAAAGTTAATAAAGATAGCTAAGAGTAGTAAGATAGAATTTTATACTACCTATAGAGGTATAATATAGTTAGGTTTAATATATAAGATTCTACGTATAAGTCTATATATAAAAGTAAGTAAATATTTAATATTTCTTGCTTAATTAGCGCTAGACCTAATTAGATAAAGATTATAGATTTAATCTACTACACTACCTCTCTCTTAAAAGAGAGTAAGTTCTAATACTTATAATATCTTTTTTACCTTTATATAACGTACTAGTTACGTATAATTATAAATATAAATATAAATAAGATACCTGTATTATAAAAGCTACGTAGGCTAAGTATTATAATATCTATAGCTATTCTTTTACTTTCTCTATATTCTCTATTATATTCTCTATTATATTCTTTATTATATTATTATTTACTACGCTAGTGCGCTTATTTAGAAATTACAGTACTAGTATATAAGAGTTTAATTAAGAATATATTAATTAATAGTAATAATGTAAGCTATAAGCTTAGCTAGAGATTACTATATTATTATAGTTCTAATTTAGTTATTAGTAAGTAAGTAATACGCTACTTTCTCTACTATAATAAGTATACTATTCTAGCTAGATTAGGTATTAAGAATAGCTAGTAACCCTCTAAAGGCTAGATTATATAGCTATTCTACTTACTAACCTCTAGTAGGTATACTTATTTTAGTATTAGTTATAATATACGCTCTAGATTATTATATATATTAGTTAGTAGAGTATATAGAAGGTATCTTTATTGCGTAGTAAGATAGAAATGTAGAGATACTCTTCTTAGTTATAGTAAAGTGCGCGCTAAAGTAAAATATAAGTACTTATACTAAGCTATTAGTAATATTCTTCTAATAGTATAAATATACTAAGCGTTATTATTATAAGGTTCTATTAGCTTACTAAAGTTTTAAAGTTAGAAGATATCTTAGGTTTTATTAAATATTACTAGTAGTAGTTAATAATAGTCTTAATACTACTAACTAGGTTCTAGTATAGTTTCTAAGAAAGATTATTAGGCCTATCTAAGTAATTAGTCTACTAGACGTAGTACTATAAGAGCTCTTTACACTAGGTATTAGAGTTTATTAGCTACTTATTAAATTAGTAGTTATTAATAGATTTAATAATATAGTCTTTATTATCTTTAATATTAGAGTATATAGTAGCTAGTATCTTCTTATCTCTAACTTAGCTAGGTAATAGATTTTTAAAGTAAAGATATAGAAGCTAAAAATAGAATATATTATAAAGTTAATCTATTTTTTTAGAAAGCTATAACTTATAGACTAAGTTATTAATAGATTAGATAACTTTAAAGAGGCTATAGTTCTTAAAGTTAAGTAAGTAGTTAGATTAGAGTATACGTATATTTCTTATATCTAATATAACTATATTACTAATCTTAAAGATAGGTACTAGAAGCCTTATATTATTAGTGTACTTAGCTTATTTAGTCTACGCTTACTATATAAACTACTTTAGTTCTTTATATAACTAATCTAAGTAATAAGTAAGCTAATTAGCGCGTGTCTTATCTATTTATATAGAATCTAGATTAGTCTAAGAAACTAGAGTTAGTAGTTTAAAGCCTAAGCGTAGTTTATAGCTTTTAGTAGCGTAGAAGAAAGTAATACTAGTACTTACGCTAATAGTTAAGTTAGCTTTAAACTTAGTAATTAAAAAATAAAGAGCTTAGTTATCTTACTTATAGTTAACGTATATGTAAAAATATTATTTAAAGTATATATTTATATTCTTTATTTAGCTATCTATCTATAGATAAAATATAGTAGAGTACTTTAGATAAGTCTCTAATTATTAATAAAGGCGTTTTTAAAAATAGACTATAAATTAGCTACTCTAGTTAGTAATAATCTTATCTAGATAACTTTTCTTTCTCTAGACGTACTTTATAAATACTTATACTAACGCGTTTACTATAAAAGCTACTATTAAAATAAACTTCTTCTTTTTTATAAGTTAGTTAATAATAATAAGTATATTTATAAAGACTTATCTATTATAAGAATAAGAGAGTAAGTAGGTAATAAAGTCTATAGAAATATATAACTAATACTTATATAGAATTAGTAATAAGTAGAGTAGTTTATATTTTCTATTATAATAGCTCTTAGATTACTTATAAGTTAGATAATTATAGACGTATTAGGCTATATTAGTAGTTATCTTTAGCTAGAAGTACTATTATAATAGTTAGAAATAAAACTTATACTTTCTACTATATCTACTATAAAAGATTTAGTATACTTACTTAATAACCTTAGTGTAGATATACTCTATACTAGAGATATATATTTTATTCTTAATATATAATAGATTATTTTATAAGAAATAGTTACTAAGTTTAATATAGATATAGTAGCTACTATAAATTAAGTTATAAGAGATACGTCTAAGTCTCTTCTCTATAGCTTTAATAAGTTCTTAAAGTATACTATCTTCTTTCTTAGTATATTTAGCCTTAATAGTAGGCTATAAGTCTTTCTAAGTAGTTATTATAAGGTCTTTATTAGCTATATCTAGAGGTGTAAAGTATAGTAATAATATTATTAGTATAAACTTAACATAAGACTTACTAACTATATTCTTCTTACTAAGTTAATATATTATTTATACTAAAGTAATAGAACTATCTTTAAAGTGCTCTATATAGTAGTAAGCAAGATAGATAGTATAATAGCTACTTCTATTCTTCTTAAACTATATATATATAACCTAGGTCTTAGAGTTAACCTAATTAGTCTTAAGAATAGTTTATACTTAGTACTACTATTACTTATTATTATAATTAGCTAGTAGGTTACCTAGCCTATAGGTAAGCGTATTAGACTTAGTTTCTTACTTCTCTAGCTAATACTTAATACAAAAGTTAAACTTAGTAAGAAACTCTATCTATTATATCTATCTTCTATTTAATTATTTATTTATTATAAATATCTAAAGAGCTTAATAGTCTAAGAGAACTTTAATAGAGTTCTTAGTATTTATAAGTTTAAAGCGCTACTCTTTAAATACTTATATAATAGTAAAAAGCTCTTTATTATATATTTTATAGTTATATTTAGCTAGAGTTATCTTCTAAGATAGAAAGATAATAGAGTATAGCGTTTTATTATATATTTAAGATAAGATAGCTATAGTAATAAAGTCTAACGCGTTTGTTTCTAAGTAAGACTCTAAGTCTAAGTTAAAATAAGCTAGAAGTTTAGTAGTAGTAAAGATATTCTTAATATAGTAGAAGGCTATAAACGCAGTAAATCTATTCTAAAGAGAGAATAGTTTATAAGCGTTAACGTTCTTATAAGTAAGCTTAGTAAGAGCTTTTACTAAGTATAAGAAGCTCTTAATAAAGCGTTAATAGAAGTTTATAAACCTAAGAAAGAACTATATATTCTTAATAGTTCTTAGAAAAAACTAATCTCTAATAGTAGCTACCTTTTTAGAGTCTATCTTAAGTTTTTCTATTATTAAGATAAGACTAAGATACTTAATATACTTTATCTTAAACTTATACTTAGTAGCGTCTAAATATATACCTACGTTCTTAAGCTTTTATAAAATAGTAAGAATATATCTCTTATAAAGTACTTTATCTTTACTATATATTAAAATATTATTAAGATATACGCTATAGATATTATTAAAATACTTTTTTAAAGTCTTATTAATAAAGGTTTAAAAGGTCTCTAGAGCGTTATAGAGACTAAATAGTATAATAAGATACTTATATAGTCTATATCTTATTTAAAATACTATTTTTTTCTTATTACTATTTTTAATTTAGACTAAATTAAAAGTAGTAATAATATTAATAATACTTATAATATAGACTTTAGCT